GGTACCAGTCTAATACTCTGTCTACTAGGTCAGACTGTTGCTTTGCATATGATAGATGAAAAATCACTTAAACGCTTAAAAGTGCCACATGTTGTAGTTATTTACTTTATGTGCATGATAATATCTCTGGGTTGGGCCTTTTGTGCCACTTGCAAGAGCAAGTAGGGCTAAATCCTAACTCAGATGGAGGAGGAGCTATTCCAATGCTGATTCAAGTCAAAGTAGCATGTCAAAAATATTAACACCTCAGCTCTTCAGGCTAAGTTTACACTGGCACTTTACAGCGCTGTAACTTTCTGGCCCAGGGTGTGAAAAAACACCTCCCTCTAAGCGCAGCAAGTTAAAGCGCTGGAAAGAGCCAGTGTGAACTAGGCTACAGTGCTGGGAGCCGCACTGCGAGGTCAGTTTGCTACTCCCCTTGTGGAGGTGTTTACACAGAGCTCTGGGAGAACTATCTCTCCCTGCGCTCGCGCCGGGGCCTCACTTTCAGTTTAAAACACCGCCACGGCTGCGCTTTAAGTTTTTAAGTGTAGACAAAGCTTTAAACAGCAAAACAGATGTGTAACTTTACACTTGGGAGTAGCCCAGCAGAAAACATAAGAACGGACATACTGGGTTAGACTAAAGGTCCAGCTAGCTCACTGTCCTGTCTTCTGACAGTGGCCAATGCCAGATGCCCCAGAAGGAGGGAGCAGAACACTGAATCATCCGGTGATCCCTCTCCTGTCATCCATTCCCACCCTCTGACAAACAGAGGCTGGGGACGCCATTCCCACACATCCTGGCTACTAAGCATTGATGGATCTACCCTCCAGGAATTTATCTACCGGTAGTTCTTTGTTGAACCCTGTTAAAGTCCTGGTCTTCACAACATCCTCTGGCAAGGAGTTCCACTGGTTGACTGTGTGTTGTGTGAAGAAAAACTTCCTTTTGTTTGTTTTAACCTGTTACCTATTAATTTCATGTGGTGACTCCTAGTTCTTATGCTATGGGAACAAGTAAATAACTCTTCTTTATTCACTTTCTCCATACCTGTCATGATTTTATAGTTCTCTATCATATCCCCCCTTAGTTTCCTCTTTTCTAAGCTGAAAAGTCCCAGTCTTCATATGCAGGGCTCAACAAATCCATTTATCTACTCGCCCATGGCGAGTAGATTTCAGCCAGTTGCCCGTTCACCGGCGGTGCGTGCATGCACAGTGCAGGTCTGGTGCATACACGGTGCGGGGCTGGTGAGTGGATTTCGCTGCGGTTTGTCGAGCCCTGTTTATATGCATAAGTCTTTGTTGGATCAGGTGCTTAAGTGGCAGTGCTTACAAACGTGAGTATGAGTATTCCCATTGACTTCTGTGAGGATACTCATGTAACTAGGAGTATAATTTAATACACTACAAACAGACGTGATATCGTAGCCTGGGTCAATAGTAAACAAGGACAGTATGCAGGAGGACTCAAACCAATTAAAATCCATTGCCCACTTATATAAAATGGCAGTTAGAATTTCTAATGGAAAAATCTGGCCAACTTTCTGCTATACTGGTCGCATCTGGACTCTGTTATAATGAAACTGATGAATCTCACTTTTAGAAAGGATAGTGGTTTTTAGTCCCCTAGCTCTCCTCCCTTTCACTTCCCCTCCCCTTCTCAACATAGGACATCCTAAAGAAAATTTTAAAAATGTAAAAAGTCTTGCCTTATAACTTTCCATGAGCTCTTACCATGCCTACGACGTACAATGATCATGTTACATAAATCAGACATTCACTTACTGTGCAGTTTTCCTCCCTCTGTCCGACCAATGCAGGCTTAGAGGCCTGTGAGAAACATGAGCATTGTCTAGAGATACATTTCAGCTGCAATGTTTGCCTCCAGAACTGGGCCTGAATTCCCTCGAGTTTTTGGTTTGCCCTGTTTCTGAGATAAAGTTTTGATCTAAATCCAAATTTTCCCAGCCGTTTCGGTCATTTGGCTCTTGTCTTTTGGTTCAATGCGGCATTGACTGTGATTCATTTTCTTAAATATAGATTTACACCTAAAAAAACCCCCATGTAATTGTTTTAAAAATGTGAAATGACCAGGCCATGATACAATCTGTACCACTCCCTGCTTTGCAGTACAGAAACAGCTCCCCTGTGCTCCTGCTGTTGGTGCTGCTTAACTGGGTAAGAATCAAGATTAAGTGCACCCCATTTATTCCAGTTTATCCGAGCCGATTCAATGAACTTGATCTGTGCAAAATGTCATCCATTCATAGATTTGCAAGGCTGATTATGCCCTCACATTGGCTTTACCCCTGTGTGATTCCATTGATGTTACTGAAGTTACTTCTGATTTACACCAGGATGGCCAATAGCAGCAGCAAACCCAGAGAATTTTTAAAATCACCCTGGAGCTTGGTAATTCAGAGGGACCTGGAGCGCCAGCTCCTGCTGCTGCTACTGCACCAGTGGCATTAGCTGGAGACCTGAGCCCTTTAAATTACCATCGGAGCACTGTGCTGTGCACTCCGGCAGCACTGAGGGCTCTGGGGCAAGAGGCCCAGCGTACTGGGCAGCACTAAAGGCTGCCTGCAGACTGGTGTGGTATGTTCAGGGCAGTGCTGAAGGCAGGATGCCTTGGCTTTGCCCCTTCTGCCTGAGACTCCTCCCATTCCAGGAGCACACAGAAACATTTGGTGCCCCTGATTATGAGCATCATCTTGCTACCCTTGTCATCAACAGTATAGGAAAGGGCCTTGTGTAATCCACAAGGACGGGCGTACTTTATTGTGCAGATCTAATGGTGGCAACTGTATAAAATGCGGAGGACTCGTTACCCTTTTCAAAACGCAACCACAGTCTTCGAAAAATCTGGCCCTGCTGAGTTAGAACCAGGAAACAGATACTGTGTGGGTGGACAGCAAGACATTGCTTGAGCTTTCTCCTCAACCTCTCTATCCCCCCCCCACTCTCCAGAAATAATAACAAAGGCACTAAAAATGCCCGTGGCCAGTTCAATGCACATTTTTATTCCCCTCCCGTGAGTTGAGAAGGAAAACGCCAACCTGCTGTTAACTTAGAGGGGAAGAGTCTGATCTCGGTTATGCTGGTGTAAATCAGGAGTCACTGCCTGGAAGGGAAGTAAGAGTGAGGCTGATTAATTAGTGCAGGTTGAACCTCTCTAGTCCGTCACTCTCTGGTCCAGCAACATCCATGATCCGGCATGATTTGAGTTACCCAGATGTGCACCTATCATGGGTCTGGCCAAGTTTCCCACAGTCCCATAACATTTATTTACAGCCACTAGTCCTGCCTGTCAGTGTTCTGTGCTGTTATTTAGCTCTAATTTATCCCTAACTGAAACAAAAGACAGGACTATGCAGCACTTTTGTTTCCTGTCTTTTGTTTCAGCTAGACCAGACTAACACGGCTGCATCTTTATCATTATCCCTAACCGTCTCCGAGAGCGCAGGAAGCAGTGGAAGTCTTGGTAATGCTGCTAGACAATACTGACCTCCAATAGTTCAGCAAGTTCTTTGATTCGGCACCGGTCAGGTCCTGAGGATGCCGGACTAGAGAGGTTCAGCCTGTATTGCCCAGTAAAGACCTGTGGGCCATTGTGTTTGAGGGCTGACAAAAAGGGATGCAAGTGCAGCCAGTGGTACTGGGGTCCAGTGCTCTGGAGACCCCTCAAACTGTCTGTTGTGTGAAGACAGTGAAATGGGAACCAGAGGGGTTCCACCACATGGCTGCCCCATGTTTCTCCGGGGGAGGAGGGAGCTGATTACACCTGTCTCTGAAGTATAGGGTTCAGGGCACTCTCTGACATATTCAGGCCAGCCATTGGCAGGGAGGAGGGGAGGCGTCAATGGGGACAACTGCCCTGGGGCCTGGCAATTCAAAGGGACTTGTGGCTCCTGGCCAGTGTTGTTGCTACTGTGGCAGCAGCAGTGGCCAGAGCCTGGACCCTTAAAATCACTGTGAAGTGTAACCAGGTAACCAAATAAGGGGGAAGGTGCTCCAGTCCAGTGAGAGCAACCCCGGTCTCTGCTCCCTACCTGGCCCAGCCGCAGGTTGGGGCTGCTCCCGGGATGTCCGGACCAGCGATACACCCAGGCCATCGAGGACAGGGGCTGGGTCCTGTGCGGGTGGAGCAGCCCCCTGCTCACAGTGGGGAGCTACTCCAACCCCCACTGGTTAACCAGATCCAGTAAAACTCACTGGTGAACCAGTTAGCCTTTCCCCTCCCGGAGGTGACTAGCCGTGGCTCATTTTGGCGGCTACAGGTGCAGATACAACATGTTGTGTCCACGCAGGTCTCGACGGACCAGTCGCCGAGGCCCGTGGGCATTGCGTAGGGCCCAAAGGCTGCAGGACGAGGGGGCGGCAAGGTGGCAGGGGGTTGCTAGGACCCAGCAGGATGCGCCTGGAGTCTCCAGAAAGGAAAGTTTCATCACTAAGGAGTCATGGTGTCCGGAGCTGTAACAAGGGTGGGGCCAGAGCCGGATTAAAGGGGGGGCTAGCCAGGCAGCTGCCAAGGGCGCCAACCTATGGGGGGGCACCTGATTGAAGTGGTAAGGGGTGCCGCACACTCGGGGGCAGGGCCACGCATGTGCTGTGCGCCAGCTGCCTGGGGTGCAAGTATGGCTCGGTCCAGCACTGGGTGGGGCAAGTGGTGCACTCGCCCCAGGCGCAGTACATGTAGGGGCACACAATTAAAAATTAGAAAGTTAAACTAGTATTTCATTGATCCCTTTCCTATCTATTTGCAATCTCAGTCTATGTGCAATTAACAACATGTGCAACTAATTAAATGAATACAAAACATTAAGAATGTTATCATGGGGAGGGGGGGGGGGAGCGCAGTTCAGTAGCTTGCCCCAGGCGCAGAAAACCTTCGTTTCGGCTCTGCTGGTGTCATGTGACGAAACCTCCGGGGAATTCATCCTCCCCAAAGGGGCCGGGGCGGGCGGGAGCGTGGCTGCAGCTCGCAGCTGTGCAGTTTGGCGACGCTCCCTGAGCGGTGACAGGCCGGCGGGGCTGGGGCTGCCTCGCTCCCTCCTCTCGCAGCCAGTGACAGGGAGCCCGGGGAAGGGAGCGTGCATGTGCCTGGCGGTGGCTCCACTCAGCCCCTGGACTGCGGCGGACGGAGGAGAGGAAACCGGGGGCCCCTGGCGTGCGGGGGGAAGGAAGCGCGGGGGGTGGGCAGCGGCTGGAGGAGGGGCTGGTTCCTCTCGGTGGGAGATGAACTTTCTCAATTAAAAGCGCCGGGAGCCGAGCTGCCAACATGACGGTGGAATTTGAGGAGTGCATCAAGGATTCGCCCCGGTTCCGGTAAGGGATCCCGCCTTGTCCCTGTCGGGGGGGGTGGAGGGCAGAGGGCTCAGCTGCATCTCCGACCGCCAGGTGCATGCAGATGCCAGGCACACACCTGCAGGGCTGCCCTGCCTTGGCACGCCACCCTGGAAATGAGAGGGGAGAAGGACCCAGTGGGTCCTGTGTCGCTTCCCAGGGCTCCATCAGAAATGCTGCAAAGAGAGCGGGGTGGGGGGTGCGTTTGTTTTTTAGGGTCCTCCCATTCGTAGCCGCCACTTCCTACTTGCGCACCCCGATAGGCACTGGGTGTTTGCCCTCGAGTGCGCCCAGCCTTGGCACAGCCCCTGCAAATGAGCAGCGGCCGGAGGAGCCCGGGGAAGAGAGGCGGAAAGGCTGCTGGAGGGACGCTGCGAAGCTCCACGCTTTCTAATCGCATTAGAGGGAGAGGGGGAGAAAGTGGCCTGTGTAATCCGGGAAGGGGCTGTGTGTCTGTCTGAGGATCTGCACTGAGAAGGGGAGAAAGGGGCAAGCCTGGAGCGAGGCAGACTGCATGGCCAGGGCCTGTCTCCTGGGTTAGCTCGTGGGCAGAGGTGCTGCACCAGTCTGTATAGTGCCGAGAACCACTCAACCCACCGGCGAACCCTGTATCTGGTGGAAACCATTTCAACCCAGAGGGTGCAGCCCCCCCCTCCGCACCCCTAGTTCCAACCCTGATGGCTGCGGGCTGTGGATGAGAAAGCCCTAAGCCTAATGGATGTGCAGGGCAGGGCTGCCCGTGTGCCCGGTCCCCTCCACATGCCCTGCAGATGGAGATGTCTCAGTGTCAGCTGTCCAGCTGTGTTGGGATCACAGGCAAGGCAGGGCTGTGATTCCTTGGGGCTGGGTGTTGCCTTGTGTTCCGCCAGCCACCAGATACAAACAAGTTCTAGGATTTTCCCAAGGCTAAATCCAAAAAGAGAGACCCCAACTGAGCCTGGAGAGAAGTCTTGGGCAAAAATCCAGTTGCCTTGGACAAAGAACATCTTGCACGGGTAGCCTTGTCACTCCAACGGGAGGCAATTACCCAGAGTTCAGAACCAACCCCCAAAACCTTGAAATTCATTTTCGTACTTAATGATCTTTTTTTGCTGTCAAGGTCATCTGCTGTGGTGGGGTAGGAGGAGAGCTTAAAGCACATAAAGGATTCAATTCAATTACTATCCCCTTATTCCGGGCTTTGATCCAGGCAGTTCACAATTTATAAATGATTCTGTCAATCAAAAGGGAAAAAAATCCGCCTCTTTGCCCAATATTCCGGAAGAAGGTGACTGTAAGCGGCCGCATCGGTACGAACAGAATCCAACGGCATGATGGGGAAGAGGGTACTCCATTTAATCTGGCAACAGCTGGGCTGATGGATGAGATTTTTCAATTAGTTAGAAGCTTTGCCCCCAGGTCTAGGTGATAAATGTCCCAATGCTGTTGCTGTAGCAGGGTTAGGCTCTGATTTACATGGTGCTGACTTTTGTTCTGTACATGCTGCCTGGTTCGTTTTGCTTCCCGGTGCCGTTAAAATCGTTAGCTCTGGCCTGCGTGTAGCGGTCAAAGAAAGGCTCCCAGCTGCAGCGGGCGGAAATTGGTGTTGCTGGAGCAATGCTGATTTACCCAGGCTGAGGAGCTGTCCTGGTGTCACAGAACCGTTTTCGGTGACATCAAATTCATTCTCTTTGAGGGTTGTTGGCAGCCGTTGTAACAAGGAATCCTAGGCTCTCACAACAAAAGACTCCATCCTAGTCCTACTGCAGGGAAGCCAGGCTACTGCACAAATGCAGGAGGCTGGGGAGAGGGTTCCAGCTTATGGACCCTGACAGTGTTGCCCCATTACACCAGACGCTTGCTGGGGAGGATGCTGTAACAAAAAAGATCAGACTCTCCAAGGTTAATGACCCCGCTACTGCTTCTCCTACTATACTTGGGTGCTAACGGAAGCCAGGAAAGACAATAGACGGCAAAAACGGGGCGGGTGAGAGGGACAGTGGGGCAGAAATAGGCCTGCAAATAGCAAGAGTCTCATGGGGTGAGGACGGGGAATGGTCACTTGTAGATGAGTCTGTCATCCTACGCTGCAAGGGCTTTTTGTGTGGAAAAACGAGGGTTTCCCTTTAAATAGATGAAGAAAAAACCCAGTGGACTGGTGCCATTCATTAGAAAGGCTGCCATAGGCTATTGCTGGGGGTGCACAAAATGCTTGTGTTTGTGTGTTAAATGTAATTGTGTGTCTGTGTGTGTGTCAGAGACAGTGTGAGAGAGAATTTCCCTGTGTTTGTGTGGAAATGTAATAGTGTGTGTGAGAGAGAGACAGAGAGAGAGAGACAGAGAGAATTTCCCTGCGTGTGTGTAAATGTAATAGTGTGTGTGTGTGAGAGAGACAGAGAGTGAATTTCCCTGCGTGTATGTGTAAATGTAATAGTGTGTGTGTGTATGAGAGACAGAGTGAATTTCCCTGTGTTTGTGGCATGCGTGTGTTTAAGGGGATTACAAGGAGGTTTCTTTTCCCCTGACACTTTAAATGTAGCTGCGAGTTTAGGCCCTCTTCTCAGTTGTCCCAAACCCTATTGCTAATGTGCAATGTCAAGTAATGCTGTGTGGGAAGTCTGAGCCAATGTGAGATGGCAGGGCAGTGCTGTTCCCTCTCCTGCTTTGCATTCGACTCTCAGGAGTTTTCCCTCCGCCAGAGCAGATAGAAGCATAGCAAGGCTTTGTGATGTGTTTGAGACACGTGCCTCACACCTGAACGCACCTTGCATCAAACAACCCCCGTGGACGGGTGCCATTGTGTGGCAGAGCCTGTGAACGGGGCTGTGGCATCTTTCCAGGGCGGTGACTTCATGGGCCAGATGTCTTGTTCCACATGGCGGTGACCCTTTGCAGCGTGACGTCAGGACTGATGGATGTGTTTATTTATTTATTTAGCCGTTCGGCTGGGTGGGCGGTTGGCCAGGTTTCTCAGCAGGCTGGCAGCATCCTTGCTGCCTGGTCTCCTCTGTCTGTAAAAACAAAATGGCTCTCAGAATGCTCTGCTGGACCTTTACCAAGAGCCAGTTGTTTAAACATGGAATTGCGAAGCCTTTTCCCACGTGGCTGGACACAGCCTGCCTGTCGCAGCGAGTGTGTGAGAAATGTTCTGGTAGGGAAGTGAGCGGTTGCAGTGCCAGTGGAGAATGTCAGGGGAACTGACTGATGTGTCCTAAATAACTCAAAAGAACAGTGACATACTCCAGTGTTGGGTAAAAAGAAACAAACCCTCCCCAAACTCAATTAGGGTTTATTGTAGTCCTCCCTTGACACTTTTCCTCCTCTAACCAGGTCCTTCTGTTACTTGTATTTGTATTACAAGTGGTGCCCGGGCAGGATCTGGTCTTATTGTGCTAGGCGCTGCTCCACTATGGGTATGTCTAGTTCGAACTAGGGTGGTTAATGTAGTCATTTGAAGTTGCAAATGAAGCCTGGGATTTAAATATCCCAGCACGGAGTAGGTAGTTCGGAACGAGGAGTAATGGTAGTTCGAATTAGAAAGCCTAATTTGAACTACTTCCTCCGCGCCGCGTGTAGCCGCGGGCATGGAGTCCGCACTAACGGGGATTTAAAAATGGCGGCGCCCAGCAAGATGCAAATGAAGCCCGGGATATTTAAATCCCGGGCTTCATTTGCAACTTCGAATGACTACATTAACCACCCTAGTTCAAACAAGGGTGGTAGTGTAGACATACCCTATGAGACAGCTCCTGTGCCAAAGAGCTTCCAGACCCCATTCTACAGAGAGGGAAACTGAGAGATTGAGGGTACGTCTACCCAGCAGTGTTATTTCGGAATAAGTGCTGTTATTCCGAAATAATACAGTCCGCTTCAACACTATGAGCAGTTATTTTGACACAATGTCAAAATAATGGTGGGCTGGAAGACTTGTTACTCCGACTCCTGTAACCCTCATTGTACGAGGAGTAAGAGCACTCTTCCTCCGACTTCCCTATCTCGGACTTCCTGTGTGTAGACAGAGCCAAAAGCTGAAATAAGTTATTTCGACTTCAGCTATGCAATTGACATAGCTCAAGTTGCGTAGCTTATTTTGGCTTTAGCCCTGCTGTGGAGACGTACCATAAGTGACTTGCCCAAGGTTACACAAGATGTCTGTGGCAGAGACAGGAATTTAACCCAGATTTTCTATCTCCCAGCCCAGTGTCTGAATCAAATGACCATCCTTCTGTCCTTACTGGAAACCATTGCCATAGCAGTGTTACCCTTATAGGCATTGTTCTGCCCCCCCCCAGTTCTGTTGATTATTGCACTCTATTTGGTTTATTCCCCTGAGCAATAATCCCTAAATCATTGCAAATCTGTTTCACTGTCACACATGAAGGGAAGAAACACAGCTGCTTAGAGGATTTACGTGTGCGGCGCATACTCACATCATGAGGCATCCTATAACAAGGCTGCTAACAATGCAATGCTTCTAGCCTCCTTTGGCAATCAAATCCAATTATAGTTTACAATGCTCCACACCACCAGCTCAATGCAACATTAGGCCCAATACCTCCTGCTTGATAGGGGCCATCTGCTGGGAGGAGAAACCTCTGTCCCCCCTCCCCATTTTTTCCCCCTTAAATATGTTCAGATCTATAGATTGGTAGGTAAACCTTGCTCCTGTTATGCACTTTGTCGAGACATGCACAGTCTCAGTTCCAGTAAACAAACATAATTACCTTGAAAGACCAGTTTTTAGTGCATTTGCATGCAATCCCCAATAGATACTAAAGCGTTCATCTGTCTGGCATGCGGAGCCTTTTGTTGCTTAACTCACAGGGTAGCCTGTGAAATACAGGAAGAGATTTCTGACTTGTTATTGTCAATAATGGAACCTCAAGAGCAAGGGTGGGGAACTTTTTTTGGGCCAGGGGCCACGGACCCACAGAAAAATCAGTCGGGGGCTGCACACATGTGAGAGGCAAAAAAGTAAAACCAAACCCTCACTGATGTGGCCC